TCAATCCCCAATACCAAAGCAAAACAAAAGACAGGCCACATACATTTAGGAAGCTGAGGCAGGAGGATTGCAAGTTGAAGGCCATCCTGAAGTAAAGACCCTACTGATACAGTAAATAATGGGTAAAAAACAAAACAAAACAAAAATAAGTAATACTTAAAAGCAGCTTAAAAAATATTGTATTCCCTTCACTGTTGAGGAAAGTTTGGATACAGCCTGATGTCAGAGAATGAGAAGCACCCCTCTCTCCACAGAATGTATTTAGGAGGAAAAATACAAAAGCATTTCTCTTTGTAACTACAGATACATGGAGACAAGTTAAGAAGTGATTTAACATTCCTTTAAAAACATATTCTACTTATTTTTTAAAAAACGGGGTCTCATATAGCTCAGGCTGGTCTCAAACTCATTATGTAGTTGAGATTGGTCTTGATCTTGATGCCTCTACTTCCCCAGTGCGAGGACCACAAGAATGTGCTAGCACGCCGAGCAATTCAAGTAAGAAGAGTTCAGAGAGTCTTTCTCAGCGCATGCCTACTACTGTCACCATAAGTCCACACCTAATTGCCCAGTATTCTAAAGGAAATTAGGAAACAGAGATTGGCAAATAAAAATGGAATTACTTACAGTTTGGGAAAATTAGGGAGAGAAAATCTCCTAGGGCCTCCACTCCCTTCCCTGGAAACACCCGAATTAACTGAACTGTGAGATAAGCGGTCTAGGTGTGTAAAATCTCTTCCCGGAAGGCAAGTACCTCCTCTGCTTGGGCCTAGGATTTCAGGCTCTCCCTTCCCAACATGAGAATCCTGGGAAATTTTAATTCTTTAAGATCCATTGTTTCAATAATCTCAACAGTGGACACTGAGAGCACAAGGATCTCTCTCCTTTTTTTTTTTTTTTTTGTTTTTTGTTGCTGAAAAGCAACAAACCAAGTAATCCACTTAAAAAATGGGGAACAGAGCTAAACAGAGAATTCTCGAAAGAGGAACATCGAATGGCAGAGAAACACTTAAAGAAATGCTCAACCTCATTAGCCATTAGGGAAATGCAAATCAAAACGACCCTGAGATTTCACCTTACACCCATCAGAATGGCCAAGATGAAAAACTCAAGTGATAGCACATGCTGGAGAGGTTGTGGAGAAAAGGGAACCCTCCTCCATTGCTGGTGGGAATGTAAACTGGTTCAACCACTCTGGAAGTCAATCTGGCGCTTTCTCAGACAACTAGGAGTAGTGCTACCTCAAGACCCAGCTATACCACTCCTAGGTATATACCCAAAATTTGCTCAAGTACACAACAAGGACATTTGTTCAACCATGTTCGTAGCAGCTTTATTTGTAATAGCCAGAACTTGGAAACAACCCAGATGTCCATCAACGGAGGAATGGATACAGAAATTGTGGTATTTTTACACAATGGAATACTACTCAGCAATCAAAAAGGAGGAAATCATGAAATTTGCAGGCAAGTGGTGGGATCTAGAAAAGATCATTCTGAGTGAAGTATCCCAGAAGGAGAAAGACAAACTTGGTATATACTCGCTTATATAGACCTACAAGACATGATAAACATAATGAAATCTACACACCTAAAGAAGATAATCAAGAAAGTGGACACAGGCGAAGGTGATTAATCCTCATTTAGAAAGACAAATGGGATGTGCCTTGAACTTATGACAGGAGTCTACCACAAAAGGCATCTGAAAGACTCTACCTAGCAGTGTTTCAAAGCAGACACTAAGACTCATAACCAAACCCTCGGCAGAGTGCAGGGAATCATATGAAAGAAGGGAAGTTAGTATGATATGGAAAGGATAGGAGCTCTACAAGGACCAAATATATCTGGGCACAGGGTCTTTTCTGAGACTGAAACTCAACCAAGGACCATCTATGGATATAACCTAGAACTTCTGCTCGGATGTGGCCTGTGGTAGCTCAGTAACCAAGTAGTTTTCCAAAGTAAGGGGGACACGGACTATTTCTAACAGGATCTCAAGGGCAGGCTGTTTGACACCTCCCCCCAGGGGAGGAGCAGTCTGTTAGGCCACAGAGGAGGACTTTGCAGCCAGCCCTGAAGATACCTGATAAAACAGGGACAGATGAAATGGGAGGAGGTCCTCCCCTATCAGGGGACTTGGAAAGGGGCAGGGAGGAGACCAGGGAGGGAGTGTGGGGTTGGGGAGGGAATGAGGGAGCGGGATACAGCTGGGACACGGAGTTAAGAAAATGTAACTAAAAAGAAAAAATAAAAAAAAAAAAAAAAAAAAAAAAAAAAAAAATAAAAAAAAAAAAAAAAAAAAAAAAAAAAAAAAAAAAAAAAAAAAAAAAGAAAAGTGTGTGGGGTATGGAAAAAGGAGAGTATTGGATCCCCTTGGAGCTAGAAACAGATGTAAGCCACACAAAGTATGTATTGAGAACTGATCTCAGGTCTTTTTTGAGAACAAGTGCTCTATATTGCTGAGCCCTTTACCCAGCCTCCATTCGGGGGTCCCTTTTAGAATGCCTCCTTCCCAGCCATGGCTCACATATGACCAATGTCACACTACCACTTCACCCATTATTTCTTCACAGTGACAAGGACTCTAGCATCCCTAGCACTGTAAGGCTCTGAAGCCCTGGCCAGAAAAGAGAGGCTACAGAGAAGAACCAGCTCCCCTCAATGTGAAAACAAGGATTACTGCCAACTGCAGTGTCTCCAGGCTCTTGGGTGACTAGAACTTAGAGCCTAACAGTTAGAAAGGGACGGAGACAAAAGCACCACTGCTGGACCACAGGCCTGTGCTGGGAGCTGTAGCTTAAAGAAGGAAGCTGACAGTCTCTGGCATACACAGTAACTTCAATTTAATAAGAAATTCCGGGGAAGAAAAAGATACAAGCAACATTGCAAAGGGCTATTTTAATTCTCCACTCCCAACTGTTAAGAGTCTAAAATGTATATGCTTGATTTTAAAGTCAACTTGAACACCTCAACAGGTTTCAGCATCATTAAAAGCTACAAGTTTGCTAGATGGTGGTGCACACCTTTAATCCCAGCGCTCAGGAGACAGAGGCAGGTGGATCTCTGAGTTCAAGGCTAGCCTGGTCTACAGATTGAGTTCTAGGACAGTCAAGAATACACACAGAGAAACCCTGTCTGGGGGAGGAGGGGGGGGTAGCTACAAGTTGGTTAAGCAATTTTTGTTTGATTAAAAAATAGTATGTTCATGGAGGAAAGGTGCCTTTTATAATTTAAAAACTACATATAAATTGGATAAATCATAAATCGGTCTTAGAAGAAAATTTCAAGAGTCAAATTGTGTGCCTACCTCGACACCACTGACCATGCAGGCAAAATATAGTTATTAAGAAAAAAGTCTGAAAGTTAAATTAAAAACCATTCAGAAAAAGAAAGAGAGTACACAGACCTACACAGCTGGTCCAGTTGCCGACAGCCTACCTTGGTGTACCTAAGCTTATGTCTTCAGGGGTGAAATTTTAAAAGAATAAGATCCTAAGAAAAGTTCCGTGTTCTACAGATGTAAGCCTAACAGGCAGCAAAACCTGGTAAAATACGAGCTTGGAAATCAGGTTTGACTGCCAGTTTTGAACACTAGGTGACCCTAGCAAATTAACCAAACTCTAAACCTAGTTTCCTCTTCTAAAAATACAAATGATGAGGTTCTACCACACAGTTGAATCATAAGCATTAAATAAGAATGTCAAGCAGGCATGCCGTACAGTGCCTGCCACAGAGTGCCTACCAAACCTGCAGTGCTCAACACACTTAACCGCCACGCCTGGCAGCATCTTCGTGGATACAAGGAAGAGGGGTAGGAACATGGCAGAGCTGCTAAACCTCCTGCAGTGTGCCACAAGTCACTGCCACAGACATGAAAGGCATCCTCACTGAGAGGTCACAGAGTGACTCCAGTAAGTATCAAGCTGCCAAGGATCCGTGTTTTCAGGGTGATCTGACATACAGAGAAGTGAGAGAGATTTTAAACATGCAACCATGAGAGTATCTGATCACATGACAGAAGATTAAAGGGACTCAGTGTTATTTTCACACCCCATTATATCTTCATACGACTTAAATGTCTGCCATGGACACTCAAGGACTGGTAAGATGGCTAGGTGAGTAGGTAAAGGCACATGCTGCCAAGCCTGCTGGCCTGCGTTTGATCACACTCACACACACATACTAAGTGTTAGAGAGGGTGGACATTCAAGAAGCTGTGGAGATGGCTGAGGGGGTAAAGTGGTTACTGATTGGAGCCCTAACACCCTCATGGAAGCCAGGCACAGCAGCGCATCTCTGTAATCCGTGAGAGCTGAGATAGGTGGGTCCCCAGAGCTAGCTGGCAACCTAGTCAAGGCAACTGGTGAGCTCTGGGTTCAGTGACAGACTACTACCCCAAACAAGGTGAAAAGTGAAAGAGGAAGACACATGCCACACACCTCGGGCCTCCATGTGCTCCTGCACATGCATACACACACACAAAACAGGAAATGCACTCGATATGGTCAAATTATAATTCACAGAGAACAGGCCTATAGCCCCAAAGTACATAAAGCCATGGTTCCTAAAGAGCAAACAGTTTGCATTTATTTACAAAGTGCCTACACCTGGCACCTGCATGCCTTCTCTGCCACAATTGTCAATGCCAGCCCCTGCTGATACCTTGGTTCTAAAATAACAGTATCTTTGTGTGAACTGAATGGTATGAAGAATAGCAAATTATTTTTGAAACAAAATTCTTATGCATTTCAAGTACATGTTTCAAATTATTCTTAGTATCAAATTATCTCTGTTACACACGGCCCTCTTGACATAGAGACACAGCTTCCTGAATGACACTTTGCAAGCCACATATCAACTACCAACTGACTATAGGAAGGCTACAAAGGCAATCCTAGCATGGCTAATTTAGAAGAGAGTGGAACTCATTAAGAGAGTGATGGTTTACACAGTGGGTAAAATTGGCCAGGGAAATCCTTGCTTTAGGAAGGGAGAGCTCACCATTCTGACATGTTCTCATCAGAGCCCTGCTTCTGTTCCTCTGCTTCACACTCCATCCTTTCTTTCCTTCCTGTTTTGCTAAGGAAAGTCCTATTTTCTGCTGATTCGCACACCCCATGGCCTGATGAGGTCCAAGGAGTATTCTCCTTCCAGCGGGACAAACGCTGTTTTTTGGCAGACTTGAACCTGCAGCCTCTCTCATAGCTCCAATCTGACACTTTCAGCTTCTGCTGAAGGCTGGCAGCCACCTCTGATGTTACCCTCTTCACCTTCCTTCGGCGCCGGAGCGGTCGACAAGGTGCATTTTCTGTAAAGGAGTCAGATTCATGCCAAGTATGCTGCTTACTCCTAATGATGGTGCTGAGAGCTGGGTGCCGTTTGACCACCACGGTGTCATCAGAGTCACTGAAATTGGTGCGCGGAGCCACTTCTCTACAGTCCTTGGTGGCCTCGTCCAGACTTGACTCAGAGGCCTCACTGAAGCAGCAGGCATGCTCTGCCAGGTGAGCAAAGTCAGACCGGCGCTTCCGGCCTCGGCGTTTCCGAAGCTGCCGCCTCTGCTGCCTAGGGCTCAGGGCCATCTCCTCCCACAGCTCACCAAGCTTATTCTGCTCAGATGTCTGCTCCAAGGCTGAGGCTAAGTCATGTACCAGCTCATCCATGAGGCCACAGCTGCCAAATAAAAAAAAGAAGAAAAGCTCCAGAGGACCTGGAGTTTTCCAGTAATTTTATAAAGCACATAATGGCATTGTGACTCCCTGCCTGGCCATAGAAAACAGAGTCCTTTCATCCAGCCACACTTACCACTGTCTCTACCATCCATGCACCCTTAAAAATAGGTGTCTGGCCTTGTTAAACACTTGAGGTCAACATATTCAAAAGCTCACCAGGTAAAAACTGGGGCATCAGCAAAAACAAACAGAACTTCCTCCTTTCTCCAAGTAAATGTGTCCCTTGGCTGCCTGATCATGAGAGAGGAAGAGCAAACCACACAACTTCAACACTATGGTAGAGATAAGGAAGTACCAGACAAGCCCCAGCCACAACGGAGGGCTCTGCTGTGGTCTGGGATACCGGCTAAGAATGCCTGTGGTAGGGAGGAGAGAAACAGCTGAGTGGCAACTATCAGGAAGACTTTGCAGTGTTCATAGTCAGAGAACCTGTGTTGAACCAAGTGTGAGTACCTACTCAGAATGGGAGAAAAAAGAAGGCCCACATCTGATACTACCATGGTACCAACTGCTACCCGGAAGTTAATAGAAACAGACTGCTGTAGAGTATGACACTGATTTTATTATTACTCCTACTAGTAGTATTATTATAGTACAGGACTTTTGGACTCCTCATCCTGGTCACCAATCACACAAAAGCAGGACATAAATGAAACTAAAACTGGAGATGCAGGGGAAAGTCTCTAGGATTCCTAGCTAACAGAAGCAACCCTTTCAAGGCATGCCCAGTAGAGGTGATTTTCAAATTTTCATTTTTCAAAAGAAATGTCTAATACCATCTGTATTAGCCATGTGATACCTCTAAATTCTGTATACTAAAATAGCACTTTCTCCCCAGCTCTTGTTAAAGCCCAAAGTACATCTCGGGCATAATTAGAGCCTAGAGCTCAGTTCAGACCATATTTCCCTTCATGCAGTTAACATTTTGCAAAGGGCTTTCTAGAAATTATTCTCACAGGGTCCCTATGTCAACAAATTCAAAAGCAGGAAGAGTCTTCTGGCTCATGTGTCATATCTGTGAGAGCAATGGGGCCATCCAGCTCTAAAACTACCACCCAAACAAACTTCCTCAAAGTCCCAAAAGCCTTACACGTAAAAAAGACCATCTCCTTTAGTAAAGCATTTAGTAGTTTAAAATGCCAGGACCGCAGTTCAGAAGCCAGCTGTCCCTAAGCCCAAAGCAGATAAGCGGGAAGAGCCCGTCTAAGTCTCTAAGAAAAAACTACAGGTTTGAAACTCGGGCAGACCCGTACAAACTTTAACGTGGGACACTGTACTAAACAATGCATGGTCAAATGCTAGCTCCGAATTCTTCCGCGTCTCAAAGGGGGCAGACCAGAAAACCCTGGTACACCCACACCTCCAGTCTCTCAGGAGCACACCCTAGAGACCCTGGTCTGAGTCACTCACTCACAGGACGCTGGTGGGCCGCAAAGCAGCGAGCCAGTCTCCGGGTGAGAGTGACGGATGGCAGGGAGGCAAGAGTCAACTTCTTCTTTGGATTCACCCGAGACTGGGGGTCAGCTGTCTGGGGCAGAAACTGTCTCAAATCTCGTCCCGACGACTGGGTTCCCTCAGTGATGGATGGTAGGGAGAGGGTGTCACAGCACCGCCCCAGAGATGAGAAGAGCAGTGTTTCGGAGGACTCTCCACCATGCCCAGCCCGTCCTCCGGGGCTAGGGAGATCCCTGCCCGGGACACCAAGCCTGAGCTCTCGCTGTCGCCCCCCAAAGAGACACCGAGAGTGGAGGCGACGGTCGCCACGGAGGCGGCCCGACCCTCAGCGCCCAAGCTGGGGAGACGCGCCTAGGGCAGTAAGGCCCCGCCACTCTCGGTGGCGCGCCGCAGTCCCGCGGTGCCCTCGGCCGCCCCGCCGCAGCCCGGAGCCCCCATCCCACCCGGCGCGGGCCCAGCCTCGCAACCACCCTTCCCCTCACCAGCTGCCGCAGCGGCTCGCTCTCGGCGCTGCCTTCGGGGCACAAGCTCTCAGCCCGGGTTTCCCTCTCTGACCTCATTTCCGGTCTGGGCCGGAGAGGTGGGGCTGCAACGGTATGGGAGGGGCGGGCTATATGAGAGGACAGGAGCCCGCCCCGCACTTCCGCCCTACCGTGGCCCACTTCCGCTCCGCAGTGGGCGGGGCCACGGGAAACTAGGAAGTGGGGCTGAGGCCAGGAAGAAACGAATCGAATGGGATGGTATGGGGTGAGCAGCCTATTAGGCCTGAAACGAAACCTCTCCCTTAGGGTGCTGACACTAAGGTGAAGTACCATCAATTTAAGTTACTTAAGACATGGCTTGAGCAAAAAAAGCAAGTCATACTGCATTGTAACTCAAAAGCATAAAAGAAATATTAATAATCCCATACTGACTGAGTGAAAAAGTAAGAGAAGAGATAAATTTCCCATAGAAGACATGCTCTCTTGAAGCGTAAACACCCCATCCTAAGCATTTTGAGCTGTGTATAGCAGCTTCCTTCTAAATGATTGAGAATGGGGGCTAAAAGGAGTCACTTTACAGTGGAGAACCTGACAAGCATTATCCTGGCCAGGATCAAGGTTAACAACAACAATTATATTGATTGTCCATGAGCTTGATGTTTAATAACAATGACATTTTATGGTGCTTTTCTTCCAGAATTCATAACCTCAGTCTAATCTCAAGAAAGGGAAGGTAAGGAAAGAAAGAAAGGAAAGAAGGAAGGACGGAAGGACTTCCTGGTTCCGTCCTTCCTGGTTGAAAACCAGCCTACAGAATGCCTCACCAGTATTCCGAAATATTGTTAAGGGCGTCAAATATAAGGAAAGCCATCTAGGATACTGTCAAAAGCTTAGAGGAGCCTAAAGAGAAACCAAACAACTAAATGCCACGTTATATACTGGGTGGGATACTGGAATAAAAAAAAAAAAAAAAAAGAATCAAATGAAAAGTAAATCTGGATAAAGAATAGACTTTATTACCTAGGCGTTCTGGATAGTTTTTAATCAACTTGACACAAGCTAAAGTCATCTGAGAGAAAGGAACCTCAGTTAAGACCAGGCAATCGACAAGCCTATAGAGCATATTCTTAATTAGTGATTGATGGGGGAGGGCCCAGACCATTGTAGATGGTCCCATCCCTGGGACGGTGGTCCTAGTTTCTGTAAGAAAGCAGGCTGAACAAGCCATGAGGAGCGAGCCAGTGAGAAGCACCTCCATGGTCTCTGCATCAGCTCCTGCCACCAGTGTTCTGCCCTGACTGAGTTCGGGTGCTGACTTCTTTCAGTGATGAACAGTGCTGTGAAAGTGTAAGCCAAGTAAATCTTTTCCTCCCTAAGTTGGTTTGGTCATGGTGTTTCATAGCAGCAATAGAAACCCTAACTAAGACACTGGGCGTGGTGGAACATGCCTTTGATCCCAGCACTTGGAAGGTCAAGAAAGAAAAATTGCCAGTTTGGAACTAGTCTGAACTACATAGCAAGTTCTAGCCAGCATAGCAATACCTGTGTAAAAAGACATATTAATTATGATAAATGTACTATATAATATAGAGGAATTTTAATTCAGAACATAGCTGTTCTGGCAAGAGATCACATACAAAGACCTTCTAGGTCTGTGTCATCTGGCTGGAATACAAACATACTTTTAGTCCAAGAGACAGAGGCAAGAGTTCAAAGCCATCCTGGTATACAGCAAGTATCAGGTAAAGAAAAGCTTTGGTGCAGTTGTGGTGATACACGCCTTCAATCCCAAACAATGAAGGTAAAGTTAGTTTGTAGAAGGAAGCACCCAGGTTTGATAGTGATGTCTAATTGAGTGGCAGAAAAAGAAAGTGACAAATCAGAGATTTGACAGAATAGGTTATGTCCAACTCTCACAAGAAGAAAGAGGAAAAGGAAACTACTTAAGGGTTAATCCAAAGAGAAAGGGCAGGCAATTACCGGGGGAGTTTTATAGAGAGAGGTTGAATGAGAGAACAAGCTAGACACAGGTGAAAACAGAGAATGAGAAGGAGCCAGAAGAATAGAAAAGATTGCTGGAGTTAGTTTAATGCCAAGCAGAGCAATTCAGGGGCCATGAGAGAAGCCAGATTGAATAAGTCAGTTGGAAGAGGTTTTTAAGCCGGAATAGATAAATTGAACCAGCCACCCAAGAGCTCAGTAAGTGCAAGAAAGGGTGAGCGAGCTTACTAAGCAGTAAGTCTCAGAGGCTGAAAACATTTCTAGGTCTAGATTAGATTGTACGGAGTCTAGAAGCTTCTAGGACTAGGCTAGATTAGCAGTCAGAGGCAGTAATCCTCAGAGACAACAACTGAAGCAGGTGGATAAAAGTTCCTTTTCCAATACAATATAAGATGTAAACAAAAGAAACTCGGTGTATGTGATTCATATAGACACTGTAGAATCTCCATATTTTTTTCCACAAAACCTGTTAACTTTTGGATAATTTTAATTTTTTTCCACAAAACTAAAATTATCCAAAAGTTAACAGGTTTTTTTTTTTAGTGCAAATGAATTTTGACTCAAAAATTCTTCTAATACTTATTCTAAGGAAAAATTGAAATATATTTTTAAAAAATGTTAAATATGTAAATTTGTTTCACTCATTGCAAACTAAAAATAGACATACATGACAGGGATTAGATAATGAAATCATGGTACATCTATGAAACAGAATTCCTTGCAGCCTTTTGGAATTGCTGTCAGGAGACTTGGGTTGTCCTCAATGGTAAAGCTTAAGTTTACCATGGAGGTTCCATCCCATAAATATAAATAAAAATTGATGTTGCAGGGGACTATTTGATGACATGAAAAGTTGCTGATTTAAGCCATGCTTGATGGTGCATGCCTTTAATCCCAGCAGTGGGGAGGCAGAGGCAGACCTCTGTGGGTTTGAAGCCAGCCTGATCTACACAGAGTTCTAGAATTGTCAAGACTATATAAAGAGACCCAGTCTCAAAAAAAAGTTATTGATTTATGATTATATATTCTATATATTACATTTCAACAAAAATGGTAGAATTTGACTCTTAGAAATCAGGACTATGCTTACACAGGAATAGGACCAGAATGTTACTGTAAACAACATTCCAAATGCTGGGTGTGGTACCACACACTTTTAATCCCAGTATTCAGTAGACAGAGACAGGCAGATCTCTGTGGGTTTGAAGCCAGCCTCGTCTAGAGAGTTCCAGGCTAGCCAGAGCTACATAGTGAGACCTTGACTCAACTAATAATAATAACAACAACAATAGTAGTTTTGTATAAATACCTGTATCTCCAACCTGTGGTTTTGTGGATTTCCAGAATTATCTGTTAGTAAGTTGTTTGTGTGAAGAATTAAGGGAATGGGAAGAAATGGCTGAGTGGTTAAGAGCTTACTGCTCAAGTATGATTTCAGATCTTCAGTCTTCACATGAAAACTAGTGTACTGGCCTGCTCCTGTATTCGAAGTGCAAATTAGGACCTCAGGCTTGATTGACAGTCCATATCTGAAGTCATCCTGTGTCCATACACAGACACACACACACACACACACACACACACACACACACACGAGAGATTGCCACACAAAGAGTTATCCAGTGTCTGATGTCAACCTCCTCGCACACACACAATTGCCCACAGAGTTAGGAAAGACAGATTGACGAAGATAACAAACTTGAAGCCAGAGTGACAGAGAGACTGATCAGCAAGAGAAGTCAAAGAGAGAAATGGGTTGGTGGGAAGATGATTCATTCTGTTCTGATCTTGACAAATTTGTGACTCCCACAGGGCAGGAAATATGGAAATATTCACTAGGTACGAACAGCCATCAGACCTCTGTTCTGCTTAAGTGAAAATCCTCTCCCTTGGGTCTCATCTGTTTCTATAGTGTCAGTTTCCTCCATCTACTCTGAAAGCTCTCAAATGTCTTAAATTCAGCTTTAGTGTCTGCTTTCTGCTAGATGTCATGTGTACACACTCCACCATCATCTATAATTCTATTTTGTTTTGTTTTTGAGAAAGAGTTTCTCTGTGTAACCTTGGCTATCCTGCAACTCACTCTGTAGACCAGGTTGGCCTTGAACTCGCAGAGATCTGACTGCTTCTGCTTGGGATTAAAGGCATGTGCCACCACCGCCTGGCTGGCATCCGTAATTTAAGACGCCAAGATATAGCTTAGTTTCTTCTGTAGTTCCTATCAAATCTGTCCCTGTTTTGGAAAATGTCACTGCTATCCTGTAGTCACCAAGGCCCAAAGCTTCAAACTCTTTCCAGTTCTTTGTTGCTTCTTTGTTGCCTCCTCCTCCTCCTCCTCCTCCTCCTCCTCCTCCTCCTCCTCCTCTTCCTCCTCCTCCTCCTCCTTCTTCTTCTTTTTTGAGGGAGAATAGGGGGAGTGCAAGGTTTTTTTTTTCCTTTTTTTTTTTTGGAGACAGGGTTTCCCTGTGTAGCCCTAGCTGTCCTGGAACTTGCTCTATAGAGAAGGCTGCCCTCGAACTCAGAGATCCTCCAGTCTCTGCATCCAAGTGATGGGGTTACAGGCTCACGCCACTAC